TATTAAAAATACACTTAAATAAATTTTTTAAGTTGTAATTGGAATAAACTCGAAATAGTTGAAAAAACTGAAACTCACTAAAATTAAACACTTACATATAAAGTCGAAATTTACTATTAACCCAGCCAAAAGCATTAGTTGAATGCCTTCATCCGTCTAAGAATGGTGGTTGCACTTCTCTTTGTCTTTCAATGTGGGAATTCTAAGATCATATCAATTCATAACTTCATAAGTTAAATGACAGGAAAATGTTTCGTTCACAAACACAATGATCACAAACTTACTATTTGTGAACTTCAATAAAAAATAAGTAGTCTAAAATAATTTTAAAATAAGAATTCAAACTATAAATAATAAGTATGTGAAATTTGTGATCATTCTGTTTGTGAACCTAGCATTGCTCTAGATGACAAGAGACATTGAGACATAATAGTAACAAGAAACAAAAAATGAATTAAAATATTTATAAAATATTAACTTATAATATATGCACCATAAAAAATACTCTGTAATTTCATTTCATTGAAACTTAATTCCATTAATAATTTCCCAAGAACAATGTCTCTCATAGAACTTAAATTTATACTTTCTAGGGGAAAAAATTAAAATAGGAGTAAAATATAAGAAAAGTACCAATTAAAAAAGGAGTTCTATATTTTTATGTTTTAAATAGAAGTTAAAATGTCAATTATGTCAACAAATAATATCAAACAAATAATGATATAATGTCAATATATACTGTCATATTGTCAAAGTGCAAACCTTTTTTTAATGATAAAAATATAGAGTTCCTATTTTAGCGATAAAAAATATGTTTTTCTCTTATTTTAAGCAATTTCTTTACTCTCTATATGAATTCGCGACTTCATAATAGGTTACTCTACATATCGCATGAGACATAAGGAGAGTTTCTCTCTATTGATACTTATTAGTTTATATGATAAATAACCTTTAATTTATATGCTTCTTATTGAAATATTTTTTGTTAAGTCACTTATGTTAGAGATAAGGAAAGAGATTTTTTTGTAAATGATTTGGTCAATCTGGAAAAAATAAAAAAACGAACTTCAAACTATGTAGGTAAACATACTAATTTTTTAAACTTATAAGCGAGTTATAAGTCAACTTAGCTTATAAGCACAGATGAACACATTGGCATTGTTGGGACTAATATTTATTTATTAGTGTTAGCGCGTTTTAAATATATAAATTTAAATTGCGTACATAGACTTATAAAAAAGCTTCGGTTAAATTGTTTTTGAAATGCTAACACTAACACTTTTTCCAAACATACATGTTATCAACTAATTTATAAGTTCAATATAATTCATAAATAGTTTTGATCAACTTATAAATATAGAGAAACACTCAGAGAATAATAATAATAAATAAATAAATAAAATAAACAAAAATAATTATAACCCTAATGGAGTACAATATACAATACACCCCATAAAAAATGATTGCATTTAATTGAAACTTAATTCCATTAATAATTTGCCATGATTTTCCAAAAGTTTAAAACTATGAGCATTTTATTGAAAATTATTATTCCATTTTTCATCCAAAATTTGAATTGATATATAATTATTTGATACTAAACTTCGAAGATAACTATGGTTAACTAAATCTTTGGCTACTACTTAAGGGATGCAAGGTGGTGAATGGGGTTTGGGTCGGAAGGCATTGTCATCTTTATATCACGTTCAACAATCTTTCACAGATGCGGTGGAGCACGGACACCTTTATGATGAATGGTGTTTGGACCAGAGGGCACAGTTCTCTTTACATCTCTTTTAAAAACCTTATACGAATGGGGGGGAGCACGAGCACCTTTGTGATGAATAGGGTTTGGACCAGAAGGAACAATTCTCTTTATATCACTTTCAATGACCTTATACGTATGTGGAGAATTAGGGACACGTTTGTTATGGAGGGGGTTCGAGCCAGAAGGCACTGTCCTCTTTACTTCACTTTCGACGAGGACCTGATATAAAGGAGATGAAGGAGCAGCACCGTTATGAAGGGGGTTCGGGCCAGAAGGCACTGTCCTCTTTACATCGCTTTCAAACACTTTATACGACGGAGGGAAAAAAGGAGGGGCACCATTATGAAGGGGGTTCGGACCGGAAGGCACTGTCCTCATTACTTGATCCCTCAAAAACCAATATGTCGGCGTAGTTGGGTTCGTGGGCTCGGAAGAAATAAGTGAGAATAGGAGTGAGAGAACCAACAAAAAGGGAAGTTTATATTCAAACCTCATTTTTAAGATTGTTTGTGAAGGTTATATTGTAAGAAAAAGCCTAAGTGTGAAGATAATAGCTCACTAAGCGCATGTCCTTTATGGCTTTATATACTCGAGAATGTGTGTTTAAGTGAATGTGGCCATGTCACTTTTTTTGGTTATTTGGTTAGAGAAAACAAATTTGCCCAACTATTATAATTACTACATATGAATTAATTTCCAAAAATGCAGGAAATTTTCTATAGTTAGGAATGAATAAATGGAAATGTTGGCGGTGGATTATTTTGCATGGAAAAAGTGTGCACACCTACCAAGAGTTGTGTTATTTTGATCTTAAAATTTAAATGTAATATGTGAAATTTCTCATATATTTTCTATGGATTCATAATTGGAAATTTTTTTTTTACAAGGCCTAATAGATCTCATCATTGCATGTTTTAAGGTCCATAAAATGAGTTAAAAGATAAAAACTACTAATAAAAGAACATTAAGAAATCACCTTAATAAGAGTAAAACATAGGGTAATTTACTTAAATGGGACTAAAAGACAATGACTTTCTCAATATAGGACCATATGTTTTTATTTCTCAATATAAGACCATTAGTCATTATCTATTAGTCATTATTCAACTAAATATCCAGCATCACTTGGACATTATTTTTTTTTCACTAGTCATTATTAAGTCCTATTTAGAAAATAAAAAAAAATTAAGCCCTACATTGGGAAATAACTTATGTTTTAGTCTTATTCAGTGCAAATTTCAATAAAATATAGTGAAGTACCAAACTATGAGTTTCATGTTTTTAATCTCTAAATAAGAGTTTTTAGTATGGCAATGTGACACTGTACATGAACATTTTATGATACTTTTTGGTAATGTACATGATCACGATTTGCACTGTGAATGTATTTTAACTCGTATTATGAGAATAAAAGTATAGCATTCTTATTTTGTTATATTTTTAATGCCTTAGTCCTACTTTAATTTTTTTCCCATGAATATTTGCCCAGAGTCCCTTACGAAGAAATATAAGATATTTAACCAATAATTTCTTATTTCTTAATGGCAATTGGTATTGGCACTCCAATAATTACTAGATGCACTCCCCTCATTGTTTTCTTTTATTTTTCTCCCTAAAATACCCTTGTGTACAATATTTCAATTCATTAGAAAAGTTATATGGAGTACTACTTTATTTTTTAATTATTTAATTAATTTTTTAATTAAAAAAAGTCACTGTATCCTAAAATTATTTATAAAATTATTTATTTTGTTTTCATTCCCCTAACTACTTCTGTAACTTTTCTCATTTGGTTTTTGGAAAAAATTAGCCATTTATTTCTAGTTGATTTTTTCTCTATGACTTTAAAAGAGCCATTTCTTTCATTTGTTTTCCACTGTTTTTTAATCTCTGTAAAGTTAAAGAGAATAAGTTAACTTGGGACGGAGAGGTTATTTTTCAAAAAAAGTTTGAAAAAAAATATTTATGATGGATACAAAGAAAATGAATTTTTTTTGTATGATACATAGATATGTTTTGTTAAACACATAGAATATATAAAAGTTAAATAAATAAACAATGAAGTAATACTCCCTCCGTCCCTAAATGATTTACAAGTTCACAATTAAAAAATCACGGGAATATTTACTTATTTAATTTATGTGTTTTCATTGATTATTTAATGCAATAAATTCTTGTTACTTCTTGTTTTGTAGAACTTTTGATATACTTTTTAAATATTTATGTTAGTTTTATTTTTTATATACTAATCTTTAAATAAAATGTGAGACCTTACTTTGATTTGCGTAAAGTGTAGATCATTTAGGGAAGAAGTGTAAAATCCCTAGTTAAAAACAACAAAGTACTCCTTAATATCACTACCGTTTCTTAATTTCAGTGCCAATGACCCATGTAATGATACTGTTTCATTAATCTTATTTAAAGCCAAAATTGGCATAAATAATTTAACCTTATCTCAATCAACATATAAATGAAATCATGGATTATTACAAAATTACAAAGAGGAATGTTTATATAATAAATTAAATTATTGAACATTGTAATATTTTACGTTAATTCTATTGTCAACCTCTTAATGGTTTAGATGTCTGAATGGCTCAGACATTTGCCTCTGAATGGTTAAGTATTATACAGAGTCTGAATGGTTAAGCCTTGATCCGTCTAAGAATGGTGGTTGCACTTCTCTTGGTCTTTCAATGTAGGAATTCTAAGATCATATCAATTCGCAACTTCATAAGTTAAATGACTGGGAAATATTTGGTTCACAAACACAATGATCACAACTTCTATGTTTTTTATGTTTTAAATAAAAGTTAAAATGTCAATAGTGTCAACATATAATACCAAACAAATTGTGATATGATGCCAATATATAGTGTCATATTGTCAAAGTTCAAACTTTTTTTATGAAAAAAGATAGAGTTCCTATTTTGGGGATAAAAGCTACGTTTTGCTCTTATTTGAAGCAAATTCTTTACTCCCTACATGAATTCGCAACTTTATAATAGGTTACTCTACATATTGCATGAGACACATGGAGAGTTTCTCTCAGTTGATACTTATTGGTTTATATCTGATAAATATGTTGGAACACGGGTTTACGCCTTCGTCGCACTAAACTGTGTTCGTTTATGATAGGTTTTGATAATGTCAAACCGCCGCGACATATCGAAGCTAAAGTGAGCAAAACTAAGGCGAAGGAACATGGCATGATGACTTAAGAACCAAGAACCCAGAATCAAGAACGAAGAACTAGAATTGTATTGAGTCGGTCTTAATGTGATCAAGACCGGCACAAAATTCCAAATCTTGGCTCTCTAGGCTTAATTCATAAAAATCTCTTTTACATATTCAAAAATACTTTTCTTAAAGTTTAAACTTGGGTCAAAACACTTGGAGTTCGCCCAAGCCAAAAACCAAGCCATTCGGCGTTCGGCTTTCAGAAACCGGCGTTCGGCTCTCGGTTTTCGGCATCGGTTTTTGGCGTCCGAACCAACCAAGTGGTTTTTAACTTTTTATAACTGGTTTTTACTTCTGGGCATATTTTAATAGTTCTCCAACAAAAACGCCTCAAAAACCACCTTCCGTTTTTGATCGTTTAGTGAAAACCATGCAAAACGGCACGAACTTGGCTAGCCGTGGTTTTCAACTAAATGACGTGGTTTTTAAAGATGTTTTACTTGATTTCTTAGCAAATTGCAATAAACAAATGTTTTCTAAAACTTGGTTTTTATTTTGGAGAACTTGCGTTTTTGACATCGGCTAACGGCGTGACTAAACCAACCATGGTCTGGCTAAACCAAGCCCAACAGCGCTGTCTGGCCTAGGTAACCAAAAACATGGTTTGGCGTTAAGTCTTCCAACAGCGATGTTGGACTTTAGACATCGCTATTGAGCCAAGGTTGGATTTCCAGAGACTTCTGGAACAGCGATGTAGGCTCCCCTACAGCGCTGTCCAACCTAAGCCTAAAATACAGTGCATTGGCAGAAAGTTTTTGGACAACGATGTTGACCCAGCAACAGCGCTGTCAGGCCAAACGTCCATCTTCAAGAGTCAGACCAAAACAGCGATGTTCAAGCTATAGACATCGATGTAGGGACCTGACCGTTGGAAGGAATTTAAGGCTAAAACTTTCCTTGTTTGGAAGTCAACAGCCAAAACAGCGATGTAGGGTTTTTTGGACATCGCTGTTGGCATGACCGTTGCTTCCCAATTTTTAAAAAACCAAGCCTAGAACAGCGATGTCCAGGCCTAGGACAGCGCTGTCTAGGTGATTTTCAGCAGATCCAATTTTAATCAAATCCCACAAATTGTGCCAATCACCCCTTAAATGTTTTGGTCCGTTGGAGCCTACTTTTCCACTATAAAATGGGGTGTTTGGGTCTGTTTTACA